AAAGATGTAGTTTCATGGCTAAAGAGTGTGCTTCCTAAGCTTACATCTGTATATTTAAGACACAACAATGCTGGCTGCTACCACGTCCTGTACAACTACACTACTGTACTTGTAACAAAAGAAATTGCTGAAAAGACGAGAGTAAATGTGCAAATTTATGCAAACGAAGTTCATGTCATTGAAGATGGTTTTAAAATGAAACATACTTTAGAATCAGATAGACAGTAAAAGGTTGTTCCTACCTTCTCAAATGTTGCAATATATTAATACTGCAAGTGGGATGGTATAAGCCTTCTTAATAATTTTGAATTTACAACTACAGGCAGAGGCGGATCCAGGGATGTCCAAAAAGGGGGGGGGGTGACGAAAGTTGGGCTGATCGAGACAACACTGTCCTAGGGGGTTTGGGGGCAGGTCCCCGCGAAATTTATGTATTCTAAACGCTCAAAAATACCATTTGAGGTGTCTGGGCTATAATTTTTTTCTTTTTCTTTATTTTTTTCTTTCTTTTACCTCCCAAAAGAGGGTGGGGGTGGGGCCGGGCCGGCAACCCCCTCCCCCTAAATCTGCCCCTGACAGGGGTTTGAGTATAGAGGGCATATGACATTTGACCTGGTTCAGAAAGTGGAAAACAAATTTTAAAGATACCATAGTGTCTTTTGGTGTGCATGAACCACCAAAACACAATGGAATTTTTAAAGAAATGATCACTGCAAAGGTGTCTGATCAACCTGTTCGCCAACATCTACCAGTCTGTGCACAAGGCCAACTTAGAAATGAAAGGATACGTCTAATAATTATTTGTTTTTCTGTCCCGAAGATGGATTTATAAAGTCCTACATAAGCTTTTGTAGGCCTACAAAAATCAGATAGTTACAGGAACACTTGAATACAGACATGAGAATCAAACACTGTTGGACAAAGCAGAATTAGGTTATGCTGAAAGGCTTTCAACTGACACTTGCATATTCCCATGGTAGCATTTTTATTTTCTAATGTCTAATCTTTTAATTAAATTTTCATTTGCTCCAAAAGCCACCAGTCGACTATTATCTGCCATACAATTACATTACATTTATATTCATTAATATATATTTTTTGCGATGGCCAAAAAATCATTAAAAAAATTAAACAAAAGATCAATGTAGCAGAGTAGTACAAATGGAGCCATTGTTGGCAGAAGACGGATAGACATTTAGAGAAAATGGAAGAAGGTTTCAAACGTTTAGTTCTACAAGAAGGCGGTAAGAAGGCTGATTGTTAAAGCGAGATAGATATTAAAGAATGTGATCATAAGACTGAACAATTATGCAAAAAGTGCATGGAGTGAAATATTTAAATCTTGTGTTGTACCATGTGCTATATTTAGCAAATAGGTGTAGATATGAAGAATATGAAGAGTAATCTGATAGAAGTTTACTGAAAAGATATTCAACACTTATTAAATACGCACCTTCACACTCAAAGAAAACAAGAAAAGACACGAGATTTTCCAGAAACAACAAATAATAATAACGATTTTTTTTAAAAAGCGCAAACAAAAAGAATATATTCAAAAGAAATTCCAAATAGTCAGTGTCAGAGAGGTTGAGAAAAACATGAGAATAGCTAGGAACGACAGTGAGTTATCTAAACCATCAGAATATCTGAGCAAAAGATGTAAAGCTATTAGAGAAATGTTAAGACACAGTAGTACTCTATAGGCTAAAAAACTGTTGACGAGTCAGATGAAGATATTCTTTAAGCTGCCGAAGAGGAATCGCAATAGATAACCTCCAAATGCTTGTCCACGAAACAGTTAATCTTTAACATCCAATTGTATATGGCAAAATTAACTTTTCATGGCCAATTCAACAATTAAATTGAGTCTTCCTAAGTTGAAAATCATAACTCGTCTTTGAAAGCGAATTTATCATGGATTCAGAAAGTTAAATTAAGTTGTTTGCTTTACATGCAATGCAGTATAATATTGAGAACATACTTGAAATAAACCTGGCAACACATGTTCTTGTAATAGTCATGTATATAGTAATATTATGGTTACATGAATTAGGGCCTATATTTTATATTATAGCATTTTCCGTACAGTAAACAAATGTATATTTACAATATTTTTTAATGAAAAACTGCTGCTTTTTCTGCCAATACAGTAACGCATATTAATAAACCTTACAACACATTCCTTAGCATGTTGTGAAACTAGTCAGAACTATATTTGTTATGGTTAATGAATTACATTATATTTTATAGCGTTAACTGTTTTCTGGCAATGCAGTACAAAATTAAGTTTTAAATTACTTGAAATGAGCCTAGCAACACATTTCTTAACATGTTGTTAGACTGTTTATGTATTTATATTAACATTATTTTGAAATAAATTTACGTTGATTTTAGTGTTATCCATTCAGTAAAAAATGATATATTTATATATAAGGTCAAATACATCATTAAGTGATGTGAACATTTCTTTAGAAGGTGTGAGGAAATGGGCATTTAATATCAATCTTGCCTCACGTTTTTGAAGTTTATAGTCAATTTGTCAAGATCATTAACAAAACGCTTATGACCAAACACTGCTACAATATTCAAAATGTGGTTGAACAAGCGAGGGATAAAGTTTATTTAAAGTATTTATTGATAAAAGGTCTTATACGCTTTAGGATTGAAAGAGTTGCAAACACTTTCTTGAGACACAGTTTTCACATGATCATGCCAAGCTAACTGGTCATCAATAACTACACCAAGGCATTTAAATAAACTCTATCTAGTTGACTGCCACATTAATGTCAAGATCAGATAATCGGCGGTGTGTACCCAAAAGCATAATTTTAGTTTTCTCAATGTTTAAACTTTATTCTTTTTTTATCCAAAAACAAATGTTTTGTAAGTCTTCCGAAATTTGTTTTCAATATTTCTAACACTTTTATCCGTAACAGATATTGTGGTATCATATGCAAATAATGATATACTGCTATGAGAAATAACTTTAGAAAGATCATTTATAAGAAAAAGACGAGACCCTTAAATTGACCCCTGTGGTACATCTACTGATAATAGGTTGTGATATCTTACCATTAAAGCAAACACTCTGTTGTCTATTTGACAAATAAGTTTTGAACCATTTAAGAGTCTTTATTATTTATTCAGATAAAAATATAAATTCAAAATTGCAAATAAAAGAGTTTATAAGTGTATTATAATAATTGCTTAAAAATAAAAAGAAAAACCACCAAAATTCCAGAAATTCACAACACAAACGTAAAAAAAAAACAATGGATAAAAAGCACAGCACCAGACAAATAAAAAAAAAATTAAAATGATAAAAATGGAAGAAATAAAAAAGGCATAGGCCTATAAAAAACACATTAATTAAAATTGAATTGAATTGTCTTATCGTAACAAACTTAGGAAATTAATCGAGTCGACTTAGACAACTATATTAAATTGACTGACAACAACAAAAAATCTAATAATGAGCAATAACTGAATGGTTTTGATCAGTTATTGGAAGATAACTTAATGTAATGAGAAATTCACTACAGTACTTTTCATTTAATATTTTAGGGATTTTACCATAGACAGCATATCTCTGAATTATGAGTGAAGCATAATCACATTCATGGATTAAAATTAACATGCTTTAAAAAATCTATTTTAAAACTTTGCAATAGTCAAGGCATGTCATTACAAATATTTAAATGTATTTACTGTATAAATGAAAACAAAACAACACTGTAGCACCAACATTCATCTAAGGCGATACCCATGATGCATTCAATATTTTATGTGGTGGCGCCAGTTGAGGGCTGGAGCCAGGCATTGGGAAGAACAGAAACCTCCAGTCGGGGAGCTCAAACCCATTCATCAAGGAGGAAAAAAATTTCTATGTAGTTTTCAGAAGCAGATCCAGAGAAAAATCTGGGTAGAAACCATGCGACGAGCAAAGCACGGAGCTTGTTTTGGAGTACAACTGATTTAGGGATTTTAAAATTGTTGGACCTTCTTGGGATTTGCCACTGAGTGGCCACTGGTCACTTTTACGCTCCCGATGAAGATTTCGGCCACCCCATTGGACAAATCATGGCACCCCCACTGTTGCAGTATATTGGATTTTCATTTCACATTTGTTAGCAAAATATATAATTCACATGTTCTGGTTGTTAATACAATGTAATCACACAGTATATGCTAGTTACCAACCCTTTAAAAACCAGAGTTATTATAACAATGCTAGAGTGATTAGAATATAATGCTTGAAACTGAAACAGAACTTACACCAATAAACAAGTTTAACTTTCAAATTTTAATCTTTTTGGCACACAAGATTTCAGGGGTCCAAAGTCCACTGCAAGTAGCGGGCATTTCCCGGAAATTGGGAAGGCCTCCCCCACTCCTGCAAGCAAGCAAGAATCTCCCAGAAAATAACCCATCTCCTGCAAATTAACAACATTTGCATGTTTTACAAATTTTTACTACAGTATTATAAATTGTTTTCCAAGAGTCAGTGCCAATGGGTATCACAATGCACAGCAAAATATAATTTGATGAGTTAAGAAAGCTCATTCAAACAGGACTCACGGATTTGGATTCTTCCAACTTGGTACCCCTGAGATTTGTTCAAAACAAACTGTGCGGATAAAGAACAGACAATATTAATGTGACATGTGCTAACCCATACTGGCATGACAACACTAGTCGCATATGACCTTGGCAAGTTTTTCGTTGTGTACGGATATGCAATTGGTATCGCCGACATTCAAAACCGGTACTTAACTCTCTAGCATTCTTATAAAAACTTTTTTACTACATAATGCTACATACATAATTTGAATGTTCTTTCACTCTGGGTCAAGAAGAAAGAGCAGATACCGAAAAACATTAATGTCACCACACCCTCCCCAAATGCATAGCTCTACTCACTACAGATGCATATTTATTGCATAGGTAGATATATAAAATTAACTTTTAACAAAATATATTACATCTCACCTTCTCAGATAAATTTAAAATATTTAAATTACCAAAATAACATTTAACTTTCTATGAAATGTTTCTTCGCAGTATGAAATTTAAGATTTACACGTCAACTGCTAACTACGAGCATACACACGTCACTAAGTGTCACTGAGGGCACCAATATCAGCATTACTGTGGACAATATAAGCCTATCATACTTTTAAATTAAATATGCTAAGATCCTACTCAGCTCGAAAAGTGGGGGAAATGTACAGTAGCTCTTTTTTCCCCCAACTTTTTGTCATTAATCCTTAAAATCCTTTGAAAGTTTGAACTGTATAAAATGTCTAACAAACAAATTATACCTTGGTTGGCATATGAAAACCAATCACACAATGGACGTTTCTGAGTGTAAATCAAACTGACCAATCAGAAATATAATCTGACAACCCCTTCAACAATTTCTCTACAAATGGCTGTTGTTTTCTGGGATCTTAACTACGATATCCAAAGGCGAGTTAGCCCTGCCAGCCAATGTGCTAAAAATAATAAATACTGTACTGCATTTACATATCTTTTAAATATTTTTCTTAAGAATACAAATTAAATATTAGGAAACAAACCTTAAAATATATAGCATGGTTGTCATTCATAGGTAACTGTAAACTGTATATTAAATATTTTATACTGCATTCTTCTTAAATATATTTCTTAAGAATATGTGTTGAATAACATGGTTGATGTTGACAAAGAAAATACTATATAAAACAAAGTTGAATTTTATACTGCATTGCTAAATTGTTACATAAGGTTCCTTAAGGATACTTTTTAATTACTATGAAACAAAACTTAATTAATACAATGGTTGTTGTTGACAAAGAAAGTACTGTAAAACTTGATTCTTATTTTAATTTTTTCTCATCTCTGTCCAGATTAAAAAATGTTCTTTGACAAAAAACTGTTGTATGCCCATATATAGTCCTCATACGCCTATATATGGTCATGATGCGATGCCATCATGACCATATTTAGGCATGTCACGTTTTTCTCAAATAAAATTTTAATAGGGAGCTTTCGATTGCACGACGGCGGTACGGTAGGACGTAGAGCGTAATGGCATTACTAAAAGTCATTTGTGTACGCGAGAACGTTAGTTCTCCCTGTCGCATGGATTCTAGGACGCAATTTGGCCAAATCTACGTACGCAGAAAACGTTGGACGTCTGGTAGGATAGTCACGAATGACTGATTCCTTTCTATTATGGCTTCGTTGCTCAAATCGAAAGATCCCTTCTGTCACATTGAATACACACTAAGTTTTCATAATTATAAAGCTTGCAAGGTGTTTTTTAGGCAAGAAAAACAAAATCCTGGTGGCGCAGCAATTGAACCAAGGCAATTCAACAAAAGGACGCTCATCTCCTCGAGCAAACATCTCCTTGTGTGAACATCTCCTCATGCTAACATCTCATTGAGCGAGCATCTCCTCGTGCGAACATCTCCTCGAGCGAACATCTCCTCGCACAAACATCTCCCTGCGCGAACATAGAGCATGCATGTAGGTGTGTGTGATGCATAGAATTTCAACGACAGAGTTAAAATGTTCAAAGATGAACATCTTTATGTTGAATTGCCTTAACTGAACCAAGTGCACTTGGATTAGAAGACAATCCACCAGCCTGCAGCTACTCATGTAGGATTATTTTATATATTAATTACCTCTTTTGATCATGAAACTGAAGCTTTAAAAGCATTAATACTTTAAAGATCAAATCATTTTTAATATTGAGTGCTAAAACAAAATTGTTAAAAATTATTACAGTATGTTAACCAATTAGATCACAAAAACTTGAAGACCTAATTAAAAAATATTTTAATTTCACTCCAGTTTTATTCAAAGGGTGTGATTGAGGTACAGTATCATACCAAAATAAAGGTACGATGGGGGCGCTGTCATTATGGCTGACACAATAAAAAGTATGAAAATGAGGCACAAAATACAAGAATATTTTTCTGCACCATTTTCTGGGTATTTCCCAATGTGAAAATACTGCAGTACCCACCACTTCCCCACCAAACCCTCCGAAAAAAACAGAATGCAAGAGGACAAGAAAATTAACCCAATCAATATGGTGAACCTCCATTTTTTAACATGCACGATTCTTTCAACCATGGAAACAATTTTGCAATATGCAATCCTTTTCATTATTTAAATTGAAGATTTCAGAAGTGATCTGAAAAGTGTCACTTTACTGTTAGATTCTGCATAACCTTAGCAACTTTTTCAACATCATTTTTCTGTACATCGTTCACAAGCTTGATGTCATCAAGAGATTTTGAACGCCTGCGTCGCGTAGAACGGACGCAGACAAGATTTGAACGGTTACCATTCTCAGTAAATATGACATCATCATCTGTTTCCATCCTTGTAACATCGTATTTAGGTTGATAATACGGCTTGTTGAAATGCTTCCTAAAACGCCTTTCCCGAGTTGCTCTACCAAGGTTCTCCTGGCTCTCCATTCTTGAACTACTAGGACTCTTCTGAGCCTCATCATTTTTGTTGATCAAGCCTTGTTCTGGAACATATTTTATGGGACCTAAGCCTGTAATGAATGCTGGATTCATTCGAACAACCTGATAGCTGGAACTTGAAGCAGAAGAACTTTTTTTAGATTCTCGTTCTTTTTTTCGACTTTTCTCCTGTAGAAATTGTTTACGACTGTCTGTAACAGCACTGAGCATGCCCAGTTCACGCAGAGCATTATCAACATTCATATCTGTGACTGTTTTCTGGTACCTACAACAAAAAAAAAATGGTTGGGTTGATAGCTAGCAACTACCTAGCAGCAATGTTTTACAAATATACTGTACCATATGTCCATTCTGTCCACAGTCAGTATACACTAATAACTCTTTCTACAATAATAATAATAGTAATAATAATAATATAGCTATAACTAGGCTTATATATGTATGTTTACTGTACATTATTCTTGACCCTGTAATATTCTTTGTAACAAGACCTAGGCCTAGTAATGTATCATGCCATTATACTGGCGCGAAACCCTTATGTATGTAAATCTTAGGCTAAGCCTAGGGCCTGGGTAGCGGCCAATGTAGATACCGCCATGGTCTAGCTGTCCTTTTGGTCAAAGCTAAACACTGAAATAATATCCACCAGCCAACCATGGATGGCTAGTCAGAGCACCATTCCGCCCTTCTCAATTCCAGTACTTTTTGTTTGTTGTAAAATACGATGTTAAACTTTCCTTCATTTTTATCAATATACGGACTAACATTAAATTACCTCACCTTCTATTTCATTTAGTTTCTATCGATTTCCCGGCAAAATACATTGATTTTCTTCTGGTTTGGAAGGCTTGTTGTCAACCCCTCAGACAACCAAATCCATGTATTTATTGATGACTACACACACCATGGTGAATGAATGTTTACCTGTATGGCGCCCTCTCATTTAGGACCTAACAAGACACAAGGGTAACATTTTTTGGGTTAAATTACGTAAGTTTAGTTTAATAGTACTGTAGCTTATAGAAATAAATGTTGATCAAATGTATATTTCTTCGTCTTCTATATTATTTCTGGGAAAAAATACACAATACAGTTATATTTATACTGTACTCTGTATTGCTTAATAGACCAGGCCCCCTATAATACTTTTGTTCATTTGTGTGGAGAATACATAATTACAACACACAAACAAAATGTCAGCCCCCAAGATGTATCTTCGAAGATGATGGTATTCGTACAAAAGTTTAAAATTTACTTTAAATGTTGACATATTTTTCGTTTCATGGAACTAGCGAAACATAAATAAGGTGTGAGGAATAGAATAAAAAGGGTAAACATGGATGATGACAGACGAGCAAGCGGGGTTTTGCTCCTTAAAAACTTAAAATTGGCATCGCACTCCGTTCTTGAGTCAATGCAGGGGAGATCCAAATGCCCAAAGTGCAAGGCATCGAGAAAATATTATTGCTATACATGTTATATTCCTTTAGATGAAATTAAGGATAAGGTACCACAAGTCAAGGTAAGTACTGTACAGGGGTGGCGCTAGAGGGGGCTGGGGCTATAGCCCCCCCCGTCGGGGAAGCATAGCCCCACCGTCGGGAAAGACGATAAATTTTGTCGGGGAACAAACAAATAAAAAAAATATTTACATGTAATATTCGTTTAGCCACCATATTGTTTGTGTTAACTTTTCATCACAACAACAACCACAATAACAATAATAATAATAATAATAATAATAATAATAATAATAATAATAATAATTCAATGAGACTAATTAAAAATAATTTGCGTTCTGTTATGACAAATGCACATTTAGATAGCCTCATGATGGTTGGAATACATCGTGATAGGTGAAGCAACCTCGACCATGACAACGTGGTTGACAGATTT